ATACTGAGAAATAATAAGTAGCAGCCAATTCTACACATTTCCACCATCGCATAAAAAACAACAACCATGGGGCCATTTTCATTATTTTTTAAATATTTTATTTTAAAATAATTTGTATTTTATGAACATYTGGTTGAGTTTGTCTTGACTTTGACTTGAACTGAATTAAATTAAAAACTGAGAGAAGACACTGAATTAGGCCAAAGACAAAACAAGTGATAACTTTTCAGTGAGGAATTTTGGCAGAACTCAGAATGTTCTTCTTTCATATCCTTATGGGTTGTTAATGGTGTTATTATCACCTCATATTTCAGTAATTTTAATATTTCTGCTTTCTGCTTGGATTAAAAATTCCTTTTCAAAAACAATGAAACAAAAGAAAAGTCAAAAACATCAATAACAGTGTTGTTTAAGCTTTGCCAAAAAATGTTTTAGCATCTTTAGTTTTGAAATGAAAAGTTGAGAAACCGAGTTAATTAAAACAGTAGACGATCATTGAATATTAACACATCTCATTTTAAATAAAGTTCATATTTCAATTATGCCATTGAAACTTAACACATTTTCTCGCATGTGACAAGATGCAAATAAAGCTAATAAATAAGAAGTGAACTCTGTGTCTGAGTGTCAGAAAGAAAAACAAAGAGCTTCAACATGTTCTCTGTAGCTCTGATGCTGCTGCTAACAGCTGGATCCTGTGAGGAGATTACACAAAGAATCACGTAGAATCACTGAATATTTAGCTCAATTATGATATTAATGCCCATTTGTGTTTCCACAGGTGTGCTCTGTAYTGATCTGATCCAATTGCAATTGTGCAGCCTGGACAGWCTTTGTCCATCAGCTGTCAGGTCTCTGGTTACTCTGTGACTGGCAGGTATGGAACAGGTTGGATCCGACAGGTGGAAGGAAAAACATTAGAGTATGTTTGCCATATGTGGGGAAGCAACAGCAAATTCTATCAAAATGATGTTGTGAAGAACAAGTTCAGCTACAGCAGAGACACTTCTGCAGGAACAGTGACAATAACAGGACAGAACCTGCAGCCTGAGGACACAGCTGTTTATTACTGTGTGAGATACACCCACAGTGATACAAACCACAGACAGAGCTGCACACATACTCAGCTGCCAGCAGGACACAGTAACACACTGATAAATATGTAGAAAACATCAGTCAGTAAATGTGTCTGAGTAGCTTATAAAAAATGCAATAAATTTATTTGATAAACTTTGACCTTTGTGATGGCTGATCCAAACTGCAGACAGAATTCAAAACAAAACTATTTGCTGATCTGATTAAATATTTGTTGATCTAAGTAAATGCTGTCCTCTCAGAATCCCTCGACACAAAGAAACTCCAACATCTGTTGTATTTTAAACCTGAGGGTAAGTTAGGAAATTTGAAGTTTAAATTCATTGTAGACACACATTCTTCACAATTACAAAGAACATCTGTAAAAACTATAACTTGCAGCAGTGGCATCACTAGGCCTATTTTAGCGGGGCTGGAGCCCCCCTAAAATAG